CGTTCTTCTCTCTCTCTCTCTCTCTCTCTCTCTCTCTCTCTCTCTCTCTCTCTCTCTCTCTCTCTCTCTCTCTCTCTCTCTCCCTCCCCCCTCTTTTCCCCCCTCCTCCCCTCTCTCTCCCCTCCCCTCTTTCTCTTTCTCATGTATAAATTTGTATATTTTCAAAAATCACTCTTTGAATTACTTTTTGGAAACCATGTAATCTTGAGTAAAAATTATTTCAAGCGGTTACGTAGTTTTTAGAGCGATTTTAAAAATACGTTTTTAAATAGCTTTCTGAAGATTACGTGGTTTTCAAGAAGTAATTCAAAAAGTAGTTTTTAAAAATATACGAATTTATACGTGAGAAAGAAAAAAAAGCTTTTTGAAAAGACACAAAATTATACATGATTTTTAAAAGCAGATGTCGAATTAAATAAATATTTGTTTTTTGAAAGATTTTTAATGAAAAAAAATGAGATTTATATACTATATATTATAAAATATAATAATATATTATAAAGTAATATATTATAAAGTAATATATTATAAATATATCATAAAGTATAAAGTATAATATTATAAATACATATTATTTTACACAAACGCATGACGGAATGTTATATAATTAGAAAAACTTCTTGCTCCAACTCTACAGTGAGAAGGTGTAAATACTATTAGATCATCAAATTTAATAAATTTCCATTCAGAGGAATCTTTAATAACTTCATAGCTACAAAGATGTTCCACCGTTTCAAACATACACAAGAGAAAATACACAGCATCAGATTTTTCACAATATGTGATAAGATTAATTCGACCAAACACAGGATAACCAGTGTCTTTGTGGAACATTACAGCTACACACATTCCTATTTTATAAATAGTACCAGAAATTGTAATCCATTTTTCGGATCTAGTAGTGTTTTTTGTCTAATATCATAAGTTAGATCCCAATTATTTAAAACATCAGTCCAAGGTTCTCGACTTATTTTCAGCCATCGAATCGCTGCTTGCACTTTATCTTCATTTACTAAGCACAATTTTGAGGCAATTAATTTATCATATTCTATGAAAAATATTTCTTAGCAGTTAATAATCTTAATTGAATTTAAATACTTTTAGATGTATTCGTATTGGGCTCATTTTCATCATTTTCATTCTGTGTAGAATTTGAATATTTATGATAATTGGCTGGATTAAGTGCACCAAGTCTCCTCAACATAGACTTAATATTTCTCACTTTATCAGCTAATTTTCCCCCGATATTTTTTTGCTTTGGACCATTTGCAAAAGGTTCATATACGTATGTAGCCTACAATATATTTACAAAAAATATTATGTTTACTCGTGATAATATTAATTATCAGATTCAGAATATATAGATAAAAAAGTTTTACCTCAGTCTCAGTTGGAAATAATTCGCATAATTTTTTGGACACGATTTGAAATTCTTCAAAAGTAGGGCTACAAAAAAGAAAGATATTAGCAACATTAAATATGCATAAAGTTATAATATTGTAGTAAAAAAATTTACTTTATATTAATTTTTATCATACAACTTGCTAATATCTCTATTAATATTCCTCTTGCTTCTCCATTTAAAATGCTATTATTTTTATAATAAATTAGAACAGCATCACCTTTTAAATGTTCCTTTATTACTTTCTCAATATTCTGAAATAAAAAATATATTATGGAAATGTATATCAGATATAAGTATAATTAAATAAAAAATTTTAATGGCACTTTTAATACTAAATATAATTATTTAATTCTGAGCAACAATTTAATATATTGTTTACCAACTCTTGAAATTGCGTTCTTGTGAACCACAATGCAAGTCTTTTAGGATAGCGTTTAGATTTTTCTAACTTTGACGATAGTTGTCGTTTCTTTCCGTTTTGATTAGCTAACAAAATTTCTGTTTCACCATCACTCACACTATTTACTCCTGAATCAGATGCTGATTCGAGCTGAGAGTAATCATTTCTCTGTTTACATGTTTCCTACAATGTTAACATGAAATATCAAAAACACAAGAATTTAGCTACTAATTTTATATCTTAAAAGGTTAAAATGTTTATACATATTCTATATACATATTTTATATATAAAATATAATGTATATAATATACATATATATATATCCTTACTATATTATCTAAGTGGCGTAAAGGAGTGTTCACAATATCAAGACAATTATCTGTGTTAACATCTACAAATGGCATGCTACAGTTTCCAAATTCATCAACCTATAACAAAATACCCAAATAAATACAAACAATTTTATTACATGCATAATCGTTTGGAATGTCTACAAATCTTCCTTGCTTGTACCTCTACATCAAAAACTAAATTCTTAGAAGTACTGGCTTGTAAAGCATTTCTTCTGTTAAAAAATTCAGCTTGATCACCCCACTTAGGCAATAATTCCTCTGCCTTTTTAGCTGATATTAAACATAACCTATCTATGGTAGTTATTGCATCTCCTAAACATAAAAGACCAATATGATATTAATTATAAGAAAAGTTCAAAGCCGAAAACCAAAAGTGTATGCGTGCGTGCGTGTGCGTGTGTGCGTGCGTGTGTGTATATCTAAACTCTAAACTCAAAAGAAATAATAATATGGACAATGCAGTTAAAAGAAATTGATGAACATGTAATACAAATATAAACCTAACCATGCAATTTATTATTTCATTGTAGATAAAATTTTTAAGTAAAAGTTACTCAAAATATAAAAAAATACTTACTCTCAAATGCGGGCCAGTACTCGCCTAAATGTGCTTTTTCTAAAAATTCTTGTACTTCGTTCATATTTCTTTTGTAGCACTAAACACTCACTGGCACAAAGCTCGTTGCATCACACTGCGTTGCACTTTGATGGCGTACACTTCGCGTAGCAAATAAATGACAATCTATTTCAAACAAATGCGCGGTCCGCGAATATCTTACATATCCTCTTATTTCAAGAAGCTATTCAAATTACTATAGTAGGATTTTCTTTAGAGGAATTTACTCTTAATCATATCTCACGCATCCACTTTTTTATAGATAAATACGTGTTACATTAAGAGAAATATGTTTTATATAAGATAATATTGCGTAGAGGAAATGCTTAGAGGAATTCTCCATTTATTAGTAGAATATTTTTTTTTGGGTGTTAAGAATATAAAAGAATGTCAAGTTACGTAAAAGGAGAGAAGAGATTTCGAAAGAAATAGAGATAAATTGTTATTATCGAGGAAATTATTTCACATATCAATTTTGTGTAGAACGGCGATTTAAATTATTACATTAATTATTATTTTAATAAATAATTTATTTAGAATAATGTCTCTAGTATAGACGAATTAATTTTCTACATAAAAATATTAATTACTTTCGCACAACATCCAGCGATGGCTCGAGATACCTTTTAATATACATATTAATTTGATATTATCATACGAGCCTAATCCTTATATCTTATAATAATTTTAAAATAATTTATTATTTATTATTTATTAAAATTAAAATAATGTAAAAAATTTTTTTAATTAATTTTTTTAAAATGTTTTATTATAGTGTTAAAAACTATTAAAAACCATATCCAATCAGGCAAGGCGTTATTGTTTTTTTTCTTTTTTTTCAAATAAATTCTTATTAATTTCTAAGTGATGTTACGAGAGTCTGAATCTTAGGCCGCTTAAGCAACCAATAAACAGTACAATTATCCATGCTAGTTCTACTAGTACGCCGCTGTAAACTTCCAAATCGTATATGGAAAAACCTTTCTCTAAAACTGCTCTCAGAGATATCACGGGCAAAGTTGTCGGCATAGCATAACTGATCCAGTGGACTACTTTTGGCGATCCTTCTAGCGGTCACATACCTGTCATTTATTACCAGATTAATTAGAGTTTATATTATTCATTATATAATTAATTATATAAATAAGTTAGAGTAAAAATTAAATCAATATAAATTAACAATTCTTTATTAAAAAGATCTCGTTAATATATTAAGTTTGATAAATGTATATACATATACACAAAGTGACTCATGTATACAGGGTGTCCCGTAAAGACCGTAACAACGCTTAGGAGTATATTCCTGAGATAATTCTGAGCCGAAAATCTTAATATCAAAATACTCAGAGTGTAATGATTTTTGAATTAGAAGCATTTAAAGTTAGCGAATAAGATAGCCTGAAATTTGCGCGCTCAGGTGTGTACAACGTACAGTGATAAAAGCGAAATTGACTATTGCTCCCCTATTGTCAGTATTAATATTTGAAAAATAAATTTGCTAATACATATAAATATTGTTTACGCAATTGAGATTTTGTTGAAAATATTATAAAGAAAAAAATATTATGATACACAAAACGCAAGCTGTCAAAAATTACATTTCTTTGACATTTCTTTTTATCTTAGATATTTGTACAGAATATTGTGATATGTTACTTATTATTTGTACAGAATATTGTGATATGTTACTCATTATTTGTACAGAATATTGTGATATGTTACTTATTTATGGTAAAATGAAGAAGAAGTGCTACGTAATGTAGAAGAAAATCTTACAATGAGTATTCGTGAAATTAGTCGTCAAGTTGGAATGTCAAAAACAATGGTTCATAAAATATTAAAAGAAAATGAAATACATGCGTTTCATTACTCAAAGGTACAACATTTATTACCTGAAAATTATGCGCAAAGAGTCTTTACATATTCAATATTATTTAATTATTTTTAACTGTTATTAAAATAAAATATTGTAAAACTATTTCAATTATTTAATAATTTTATTGTACATATATCTGTAAGATAAAAAGAAATGTCAAAGAAATGTAATTTTTGACAGCTTGCGTTTTGTGTATCATATTTCTTTTTTTAACAATATTTTCAACAAAATCCTAATTGCGTAAACAATATTTATGTTAATATGTATTAGCAAATTTATTTTCCAAATATTAATACTGACAACAGGAGAGCGACAGTCAATTTCGCTTTTATCACTGTACGTTGTACACACCTCAGCGCGCAAAAGGCTATCTTATTCGTTAACTTTAAATGCTTCTAATTCAAAAACCATTACACCCTGAGTATTTTGGTATTAAGATTTTTTGCTCAGAATTATCTCAGAAATATACCCCTAAGCGTTGTTACGGTCTTTACGGAACACCCTGTATATTCATATATATTAAAATTAAAAATTAAAAAATTAAAAATAAAATAAAATTAAAAATTAAAATAATATAGAATACTTTGTGTTCTCTAAAATTTAATCAAATCATCTAAATATTTTGTAAATACTAAGATTTAAAAAAAATTAAGAAAATTCTAGTTTTTTAATAGTAAGATTATTTGAAGATCGAGAATCAAATTTATCTTTTGTAAATAGATTTATGATTTTATTCAAGATCAAGACTTGGTTAAGAACACAAATTAATAAGTCGGAATTGCTGACATAAAAGTTGGATCGTAAACAAGTGTGAAAAAACTTTTACAACTATGAATAGGACATCTACTTAATTCCATAAAAAAGTGTGTGGCGCATGTATAATGAATAGAAACCTTGACATATAACAAAACAGGTTTCAATATCATCTTGTAAGGATTACTAAATTCCTTATAATGTCTCATGGATAATAATCTGTTATAATATTATCTGTTAAATCTGTATAATATATATCTGTTATATATTAATCTTTTCATAACCTTACCATTTATATCAAAGCTCGGAATTAGTTGCATATCTCGGGCCGATTCCAAATAATGTTTATTTTCATTAATAATTAAATATATATATATATTATGTATTAACGAAAATAAACATTATTTATGTAGCAAAGGAAATGTTACGATTTCCTGAGAGATGCCTAAACAACCCAGCCTATTTCTAATATAAAACGCTCGTAAGCCAGAGCTATCGGCGGGAACAGGAGACGTCGTCTCGGGAATCGGCCCGAGATGTGCAACTAATTCCGAGCTCTGGTTTACAATGTTTTATAGTAGATTTCTATAATTATCTCTATCTAATTCTATATGTTAAAATGCCTCTTACTTCAAACATTCGACTTTCTATAATTTTTGATACGCATGTAGACACTTGTGACAAAGTGCATATCACGAGCAAGAAATCGCGGTGTTGCTTTGACGAACAAGTAAACGAAAATGGAGCGTTAGAAGCGTATTTAGCGGGTCAAGCACCGGAACCGGCGAGAGATTCTCCTCGCGTGTCGTGCGCGCTCGATGGCACTCGAGTCTAGAACTTCGAAATAAGTAGCCCATAACCACCTGCCTTCAACTTGCCATAACGAGCCTCCCCCACGAACAAAGGAAATCTCAACGCTACTGATAGAATCACTAGTGAAAACTGCGAGCCGAGAAATGCGCGATCGTTAGTTGCGTGAGAAGTACCGAAAGAGTAACATCGCTCCATACAAAGAATACCGCCGGGCTAGAACAATCTTCTCTCATTTCGTTATCATTATCAAAGGACTCTCATCAATTATTCGCGATTACATTCAATGATAATGGCGAGGTGAAACAAATTGACAGATCGCAGCGAGGCTTGTCGAGCATGTCAACGGTAAGCTGATTTAATTAAGGATGCCCCGTATCACCAATGTGTAATCGTAAAGGATACCAGTCGCCAGACCTCTCAGAAGGCGATGCTTGAGACCAGCAGGAGATCCGCGATAAGTACATCCGAGCTAGGGCTCTATTCTGATCGCGGTGATCGATACAGTAGGAGTCGCTGCGGCCTGATCGCGAGGAAGTGTGCGATTGGAGTTATGGTGGTGGTAACAGTGATACTGGTGAGTGCTCTAAAGAAATAAGTATAATTATAATTATGTTGATAATATTATCAATAACTATAATCATTATTAACAAATATTTTAAAATGCAAGAGTTTCTCTAAAAAAATACAAGAGTTGTATGTCTCACATATTATGAATATTATAATTTTATAAGAAACAGTTTGAATTATGTTTAATTAAACATTTCCTTGCATACTTTAACAATCGATTTCTCATTCTTTATGGCATGAACATAAGCGCATCTCTCGACTGTGTCTAACAATCTAACGTAATAACCATTCATACCATACTGTAAATAACTGGATTGTTTAAAACATTAAAATCCCATGGTTAAAATGCGAAATAATGTATTACGCAATTAAACAGAGATGATATGATGCGATACTAATTACTCAGCATTATTTACTTTTGTATATCGGGTGCATCTCATGATTAATTATTTTACTACACGGACAATGACCTTGTATAACAAAACGTTTGCACAGTGATTCGCGACACATCCTGCTTCGCACGATTTTGTTACACGTGCCAGGATAGACGTGATAATTAAACGGTATGAAACTTTTCATGAGTTTCTTCCACGGTAAGGAACAATAGGTGTAATTACAGCTCACACGTTTTCTCCGATGATTAATAGTGGAGGCGTGTGGACCCGTAATTTCACCGCAAATCTTTGAATATCCCTTCTATGCATGGCGAGCCAAGCGAGCAAAGATTTCTGCGTGCTTCACATATAGGGCATTAACCGTGTTTCGGCATAGATTAAATGGTATTCGTCGCTTTAAAACAAGGTTAATTGCAATATTATTATTTCAGAAACTCGATAAACATTGCCCAAAAATTTATTAACTATTAATTACAATTTAGCGACTTGTTGGCGCTATATTCTATTTGCAATCGAGTTAGAAACCAAGATTTCATTAAAATTAATTGTGCTGTTCTCATTAAAAAGTAGCGCGATGTCTAGTTCATTGTAATGACATAAAATTTACATTTTTCTTTAGCTTTATAAATCAAACAGTAGTTTCAACTATTTTACTAATATTCTAACAGTGATAATTATAACAATGTTGTACAATATTTATCCACGCTCTAACAAATTTTAATTTGTGATTATTTGTTTTTAATTTGTTATAAATACTCTTTAAGTAATTTTTTAAATATCACCGTAGGTGGCGATATTTACGTACGATTTTACGTCCGCCACGTCGGGGAGCAGTAAAATGAATCAAGAATCAAAACACATATATATACTGCAGAATGCTCTTAAAAAGTCACCTCATCTTTTGAAAAAATATGCAAATTCCACGATCCTATCTGGCACAATCAATCGAACCGACGATCTTTCCATAGAAGAGCGTTTGGGTGATGTCAACTTGAACGAAAATTTTATGCAAGAAAATACAACAAGCGATATGACACCGGCTGAATCTCGCATCACAAAATCAATTGAGCCCGAGATGCGAGCACAGAATCTTCACAATTTCAAGCATCGGAAGAGAGTATTGAAATCCGTAGAGGATGAAAAGGAAAATGAGGAACCCGAGGGCAAGCAATTGTTCGACAATCACGCGATCGTTTATCGAGTAAGACAGAGGTGAGTGACATGTCATCGTGATCGATGTGCGATTATTTTAATAGCAAATTCTCCTATATCATTTATCAAAATAAACGAAAATGTTGAGAATCAAAAATAGTTGAATTAAATAACAAAGCGATGATATATGAATGTCGATTTAGCATGTTATGACTTTTGCGCCATGCATCAGAAGAATTGACACACCTCGAGCAAATGTCGATATTAAATTGATGAATCAATCCTCCCATTAATAATCCCGAAATTAACGACCTCGAATATCATTGACGTTCTGTTCGATTACATCGAAGTGCTTTCTATATTAGATAACATTGTGTCATTGCATATAATAAATCAATTTTTCAAATTACGTAGAATTAGCCAACGTCATTTCATATTTATATTACATTATGTAGTGTTGAAAAAATTGATCTCAATGGTGCCAAAATTTAAATAATGTTTTAGATAATTTTCACGTATATCTAAAATAAGATAGTAAACTTGTATCTTTTCGATAGATACAATCATCCGAATTCAGAGGAGGACATAAACACGGAAGAGATTCGACCGACGCCGTTTCACTGGGAGTTCAAGACGCCGCATCCGGCGTCGTTCAAACGACCGAGATATCCGCAGCTGTCGCAGTACAGATATCCGCAATCGTCCAGAAACATACAGGACATCATTAAATACCTAACGAACAACGCTGATGTGCCGAATCGCGGCATCAAATTCGCCGGCGTATATGTGAGTCCGAAGAAGTACGATTTTATTCCCGGCATAGGGGAGATGATGTCCAATAGCGATAAATCCGAGGAGGAAGAGACGCACCCCTATCCGAGTAATTCGTTCACTAACGACCCCTTTTACCAATATAAGCCAAAACATCCGTCGGACGTGAATCTCCTAGCCACGTCCAACGTCAGGTTTGTAACTAAAAAATGTTCTAACGCGAATCTAGGCTAATAAATATTAGAGAATATTAAAAATTATTAATCATATTAAATGAGACTAAATAAATGAAACTTTACTTTAATATTAAATGTCCAAAATTATTGTTTTATAATAAAATACGAAAGTTTCTAAAAAATGTAACATAATTAAATTATCATGTTAAAAGTTAATCATTAATTAATGTACCGAAACTCTACCAACAATTTAATAAAATATATTTTTTTCAGATTTTCTCCAACCGGAATAAATCGTTACAGTCCTTACTACGAGTCCTTATACTCTCGACCCGTGTTCAGTTACAATAAGCCGATAATAGCAGAGTCGCAGTACGAGAATGTCGGTTCCTATTCGACGAACGTGATGAAAAACCGCAAACCAAAACCGTTCAGTGTAATGCTCGATATTTATCCTATTACGGACATCATGGAACAAAATAAGAAGAACTCATGGTCGAAACCGCAAGGATCCACGGACGATTACGAGTCTAGAAGGCCCTTCCAGTTCAATCGCGGGCTAAAATTCTATGCACCACCCACACAAACAATACCCCTCATGGCTGTACCTAGCCCTACGACTCTACCGGAAGAAGAGGAAAGGCAACAGATGATATTTCATCTGAATCTATATCCTCGAAAGAAGAATAAGCTGAACAGGTGCAATTCTTAACTACTTAATTATTTTGTCAATTAAATTTATTTTAAAAATTTAAACGTGATAATTAAAATATGTTTGCATTAACTTAATAATTCCTCTTTATATTTAGCACAGAAAAATCTAACTCAACTGTCGAATTAAATTTCTAGGCATGAAATTATCCATAGATCGGAATCGATGGCACCCGAAGAGCGACAGCAATTCGCCAAGAAGATAATAACTCCTTTGGAATCTATCGCTAAACATTTGACCGATCATTCTGCAATCGAGGAGTCAAAGTTCGAAGAGAATCAAAACTCAGAGGCAACTAGTTTACCACTAACGCGTTATCAAGAGCTCAATCTGGACGAAAAAAACGAAAAGAATGGAGATCTTGTATTAGATAACGATTCAGAAGCTTATTTGGATCTTGATAGCGATGTTGATAGTATTAAGAGAGATACCACTATATCTCCAAATCATAAGTTAATTATCGACGACGACTATGCCAGCACGGAGAAATATGAAACTGACGCGCACAAAATAATGACTACAGAAAAGGATTGCGACAGCACAACGATGATTGACGGCCTACCGTGAAGGCCAACATGAACAACAGCATCAATCTTTTGAAAGATATCGATATCATCAAAGAGTTTCAACGCTTTGGCCACAGTCTTTTGCGCGGAGATTAAACTAAAAAAAATTTAAAGAAAAAAAGACATTAAAATGACTTGAAGATAAATTATAATAATTCGAATATATCTTTTCATAATTCGATATTCTAGATACTTTGATATTTGAGACAAAAGACACACTGTTTATTAAATCTCCAGAAATATTTTTATGTATAATCTAATTGTTATTGTATTTTGCTTAATAAAATATACTTTTTGTAGTTGTCTTACTAATTTAATTATAATATTTCCATTAAAAAATATTTAAAAATTTTTCAATTTTATGCTATATTAATTTGGAGAACATTTTGATAAAAAACGCACGAAATCATTAAACTTAACATTTATGTAAAGTTGCACAGCATGTATTTACAAGATAATATGGAAATTTCAACTGGTTTAGCAATCATGCGACAGGTTTTCATTAATCACCGGTACGGAAAGATCTTATTATATGTTAGAAATTTTCTGAGGAAAAAAATTACGTCAATGTGCTACGTAATTAGTAAAACATGTTAACAAAGTTTAACTGCTCGAAACAATTCTGGTTCCTCGCCTTGACATTTTTGTCAAAAACATTCCAAAGTTTCTCATAATCTCTAGTAAGAAAAATCGGAGGATATTGAACATTCATAGATTGCTTCATATGCCACGGTGTATGTTACTAGCTATACCACAAGTTGTATATTTATAAGATAAGATTATAAAAATAATCCAAAAACTTTAATTATAGTTAAAAATAATAGAGTAAATTTTACAAGAGAAAGGCTCGATATAATAATCTATCCAATATAATATAATAATGGTTACAGAGTCATCGCGATTGTTGGTGCGAAATAATTTATTTTTTATGTAGAAATTTATTCGTCTATATCGAGACATTAAAATATTTTAGCATAAGTTTCTATATGAATGTTTTAAAATAAGTTTCTATATGAAAAATAAATTATTTCGCACCAACGGCCGTGACTTTGTAGCTATTATTATATTATATTTGAGAAAAATAATATATTAATTAAAAATTATTTTAATTGATCTTTAACATAATAAAAATAAACTATAAATTATTAAATATTTTATTCACAAATTATATTAACTCTGAAAGTAAAGTAAAATTTTGAATTACTAATGTAAATTTTCATTATCGTTTCTGAGTAATTCTAATAAATAATAAACTTATTAAATTTTATTGTACTTACCTGTACAATTTATTAGAAAATCAATTTAATATGTTACATATATTTTAAAAAATGTAACATATTTATATATTTTTTGTTGTAATTGCACATAAGCTGTGTTGTTCAGCAAACATTTATACATAAAATCTACGAAAAATCAAAATTAAATTATACAAACTTAAAAAATGCATATATTGTTAATTATGTCGACTACGTCGACTAAATATAAAATTTACAATCTCATTTTTTCGTTAAATATAATATTATATTATAATACAGAAAACACTCACGGTTTTTTAACAACACCATAAGCGTAATATGAATAAAATATACAATTTCATGGTTAGTAGTCTTAAAATTACTTACAATAACATTGTACAAATATCATATTATATATTTAATCACTTATCTAAAATCGGATATCACTTTTTACACTACGCATATAGCACCATCAATTCGTTTCCGTCTTCTGTCTTTAACTGCGAGTTAAACTATGCGTTATTAACAGTTTTGTGTATCGTCCAATGCATCTTTCATCAAACATCACACACTTAAAGTTCACTGGGATTAAATTTCCAATATATTGTTCTAAAATAGTTTTTATCAAGAAATAATATTTTTAAGAAAATTATAAATTATTCTTTTCTTGTGGCGACAATTTCATTCTTTTTATCTTGATATTAAATTAGTATATAAATAATGTATATTAATACTCTGAAATTAATGTACTTCAAAATTTCATCAAGATAAAATTTCCTTTAAATTAAGTATAGAATAAATTTCCATCATTTATATTAGGACCTTGAATAAGTTCTCGCTGTTTTTTTGTTAAAAAAAACATTAATTTAAAATATAAGGCTTACAATAACTTTACTCAAAGTATTGTCCATCATTAGAGACCACTTTCTCCCATCTTTTTGGCAGTAATTGAATCCCCCGTCGAAAAAACGATTCATCTTTTGACGCAATCCATGAATCGACCCATTTTTCGGTTTCTTCGAAAGAATGGAAGCGCTGCTCGCTCAAACCATGCGCCATCGACCGAAACAAGTGGTAATCCGAGGGGGCTATGTCCGGTGAATACGGCGGGTGAGGTAGAACTTCCCATTGAAGCGTTTCCAGGTAAGTTTTGACTGGTTTTGCCACATGTGGCCGAGCATTGTCATGTAACAAAATGACTTTTGGATCATTCCTAACGCTTTTAAACGTTTTGAAACTGTTGACGCATCTACTTGCAATGTTTTCCCGAGCTCTACTAGCGTCTGACATGGATCTAGATCAAGCAATGCCTCCAATTCTTCGTCTTCAAACTTTGTCGGTGCTCCAGAACGTTCTTTATCTTCAAGGTCAAAGTCATTATTTTTAAAGCGCCTAAACCAGTCTCTGCATGTCGTATTCGACAGAGCATTGTCACCATATGTTTCAACAAGAATTCTGTGTGCTTCAGCTGCAGATTTCTTTTGAATAAAGCAGTGCAATAAAATTCCCCGCAAAAACACTTTATTTGGCACAAAAGTAGACATTTTCGCAATAGGTAATTAAACACGTGGTTGACACTGTGGTAAACTGTATCTACTAGAATTTGAGGTTACATATAGTACTACTTAGCTGATGCGTTTCCGTACGAAATTCCATGCACAGAGTGCCGCTACGCCATCTTTTAAGAAACAGCGAGAACTTATTCAAGGACCTAATATATTAAGAAATTTTCTTGCTGAATCACCAAATAATGTATTCATGTTTAATTAAAAATTTTATCTAAAAAAAAAAAATCAATGTCATTTGTAAGAACACTCTCAATATCTCTTTGAATCTCTAGGTTCTCGATCCTAAAGTACTTGGATGATAAAGCGTCGTGTCGGCACCCCACTCATATGGGCCTTCGTGCGGGCCCAACGTGACCATAGTACCTGGTCCTAAAGTTGTATGAGATCCAGAGCTGACCATGGCCGGACCGGAAGATACGTAACTGAGAGGCGGTCGCGGTTGATCACGCAAACGCGCGTGCTTTACTTGGCGTTTGTACCTAAAAGAGAAACACACAGCTTACGACATTTTTGTTACGACCTCCTTTCTAAATGACATTAAAGACTTGACAAAAAAACAGGTTTCGATCACGTAAGCGACCTTAGAGCGTTCACTGTCAAGCGTATTTTACGAGACAAAGATAAAAAATCGCGGGATGACAGCAAAATAAGAAAAATAGAGAAGAAGTAAGATAAAAGTATTACTTCTGACATAAAAGTTGAAAATATTATAAATATTGTATTATTGCACTGCTATATAAACACTACAATGAATAGCAACACTATAAAGTAATATATATGTTAAAAATCCACAAAGTAAAAAAAAAACAAATATATTGCTATCAGCAAATAAAATAATTTCATATAATTTGAGCATAGAGATACTATTATTATATATAAATTACTAATAATTATATATTGCTGATACTTACTTCGCGTGCATGCAACACAGAGTACAACTAGAGATTATGGTAGCGATCCCGACGAGAACCGCGATAGCCAGAACCCACATCTGCGTCATGGAGGCATCGGCCCGCGCGACTATAGCGGCGCAATGCTGTACCTTCTCCACGTGATACGTCCTGTACACCTTCTTCAACTCCTCATTCTTCGGATCGGTCAGCAGCGCCCGCATCTCGTCCAGATCGTAGGACTCCTTGCCGACCATTTGGAAACACGAGCTGGTCGATGAGAAATCCAGGGAGTTGTCCTCCTTCGAGTAAAACTGCGTATCGTAGACATTCACGCTGATTGGCAGCGAGAGCGCCTGCTGGACCGCTTTCTCGAAGTCCTCCAGCGTCTTTCTGACTTCGCCAGGCGGCTTCGAGAATACGAACTTCAGCATGTCGCGGTCGCGCAGCAGGAAGATCCGCAGGGTGATGTTGGTCTCTCGTCCCGGCATCGCTGAGTTGTTCGCCGTGACAATCATCTCCATAAAGCCGTCCGCGTATCCCGCCATGGAGCCGGTCGTCCTGAACTCGCCGGTGCGCGCATTCAAAGACAACTGCGACGGAATTTCTTTCTGCGACATGGAAGGATCAACCAGTGACGTGAAAGACACCTTGCTCATATTATAATTAATAGACAGCGCGCTGGAGTCGGCGTCGGACGCTTCTAGGGTGATCAAGCTGGTGTCGATGGGCACATTCAAGCGAACTCCCAGAGTCACGTTGTCCTTCTTGAAGCGAGGCTTATTGTCGTCGATGTCCAAAACTCTGATAAGGACCTGCCTCTCCGAAGGGTCCTGTCGGTTGTACGGTTTCGGTATTACGTCTAATTTCTTGAAAGAATACTTGAAACACTTGATAGTCAACAAATGAGACTCTGTGGTTTCCCGATCGAGACGACCGTTTGTCTTGATGACGGCGGAGTTGTTTTCAAGTCGCTCTACCACAAACAACCTCGCCTCATTTCCGTACACGATCTCATAGTCGATCATCCCGTTCTCGCCGATGTCCTCGTCGATCGCCTCGATCACGCCGACCTTGGAGCCCACTGGCATCTCTTCCGGGATATTCAATTCAATCGATGGACTATCCAGGTTGCGCTTAAAGTGCGGCTTGTGATCGTCGATGTCATTCACAATCACCTGGAGCACTCTGGTCGCCTGCTGCGGCGGCTCACCGAGATCCTGCGCGACCAAGATCAGCGTATAGCTGTCCTTGGTCTCGCGATCAAGTAACTTGCGTGTACTGATGAGCCCAGTCTCGCTATTGATCCTGAACGCGCTCGCGTCTTTGCCAAAATTGCCATCCTCCAGGAAGCGGAAGGTAATCTGGCCGTTCGGTAAATTTGGGTCGTCCGGATCGGACGCCACCACTTGGAAAACTGGACTGCCGACAGTGGAATTCTCAGCAATGTAGGCTACTTCTTCCAACGTCGGCCTGATGAACAGCGGTACGCCGTCGTTGCTCACCACGTCGCCGATATACAAGATGAGACTCACATCCGAATACAAAGTCGGTTCACCGCCGTCTTGCGCCCGCACTCGCATGTTGTACGGTTCGGTTCTTCCTTTGCCAGTCAATGCTCGCGCTGAGCTAATTTCGCCCGATCTGTGGTTTATTTTGAACAATCCTGGAAAGAAAGAATTGGAAATCAAGCTTTGTGTTACTTTATAATAAATTCTCCACAGAAAAATATCAATTTTCTATCGGCATTATTGTCATCACGTAAATATTTAAATGTGTAAATTCTATGCAACTAATTAGCTTCAATAACAGAATTATTAATTTTTTTTTATAACAACACATTTACAAAAAAATTATCCTTTTACTGAAAAAATAATTTGAAAAATCCAATTATAATTTCTAATTGTGTCATTTTTTTATCGCAAAAAAATTAAATAAAATTTAATTCACACTTTAAACTTACCATTAGCTTCGCCTTCGTCGATAATTTCGAAGTGTATCGTACCGCCTTCACCTTCGTCTGGATCGGTAGCCGTAATGTTCACCACGCTGATTCCCACCGGTGCGTTTTCCGGAATCACCGCGGTGTAAGATTCGTGTCCAAAGCTAGGAGCGTTATCATTAACATCGAGAACATCGACCGTCACCGAGACTCGGCTGCTTTGTTGCTCGGCACCACCTTGAGGCATATCTGACGCCACGACATTGAAACGCAGGACCGATTGTCTCTCTCTGTCCAAAGTCGTGTTTGCGGCGATCTATAAATCATTCCTTTCGTATTTTATCTCAACAATTTAAAGATACAAAAATAAAAAACCGATTAAAAAATTTGAGATTCTTTTTGTATATAGAAATTTGTGATCTAAAATTTTAATTAAAACGTTGCTGAAAATTTTTAGAGGCAATTATTCTTACCTGGATGTTGCCCATTATGGGGTCCACTTCAAAAAGATTAGCGTTCCCGCCTGTCAAGGAATATCTCACTTCTCCGTATCCCCTTCTGACTTCTTGCTCGGTGCTGGAACTATCCATATCTATCGCCTTCACGTTTAGTACGACCATTGCCGGTTTTATTGACTCTAACACAGAAATCTTGTAATCCTGCTGATTGAAAACTGGACTGTTATCGTTAGTATCCTGAATCTCGACGATCACATTAGCTTCCGACATCTTTCGTGTTATATCGTAGTCTCTGGCGAGCGCTCGAACTTTGAAGCGAATAAGCTGAAGGCAAGATCAAAATCGTACACCTCGATATTATAATAATAAATCGCAAAATATTGTAACAACATAAAAAATAATAAAATTATTGTATCTCACAAATTAATATAACAAATAATCAAATATTTCTAAGTCAAAACTGACACTATAAACTGTACTTCATACGTGTATTTTAATTTTTAGAATTTTTAAAAATAAAATTCCTTATTTCTCTAATAAAATGATATAATCATCACAATTATAATACTCTACCTTCTGATTTAGCTCTTCGTAATCCAATCTCTTGTTTAGTACTACACTGCCACTTTGGATGCCTACATTAACATAGCTCTCGTCATCATCGTCTCTCACCAATTCAAATCTCTTAACTGGATCTCCCGTTGTCGGCTCTTTCGCTGATAACAGCAACAACGTTGAGCCTAGGGGCTGTTCCTCCGGAACCGTGAGCTTTATCGTCGGATTGTTTGGTGACCATCCGGGATTGGTGAACGTCGGATTATCATCGCTGTAAGCTTGGATGTAGATGGTCACCTCCACCTTTGCTATCTGTTCGTCCCTATCGACGATGGCATTTAAATCCCGCACCTGAACTGTTAGTATTACGACAGCGGCCACTTGATAATCTAACATCCGATTCACTGTTATTAAACCGGTTGTAGAATTTATTCGAAATGCCATTTTCCAATCGTAAGAGGTGGAGCTTTTTAAAGCCACACCGGTCTTATCAAGAGCTCTTATCGGTTCCACTAACGAATATTCTAAATAGGCATCTGCGTCGAGATCAGTCGCTATTGTTCTTAACACGGGTTCACCTGCAAATACAAAATAACAATAGCTCTTATTACAAAACAATTAAAATATTTAAAAAAGCCAATTAACCCTTTGAGTACTTTTTATTTTACTTTTATTCCGATCATACAAAGTGCTTCTTCATTGCACTGTTCCGTACCGAAACGGTTAAGCTAATGTATTATATTTTTATATAAACAACAATTTTCAAAAATAATTGGTTGTAATAATTTTAAAAAAGAGATATAAAACCTTTGATTTTAATTTTACAATTATATAATTATTATTTAATAATATAAATATAAAATATATTTTTAATTTTTAATAAATATTTTAGAACACATACCTATAGCTGCGCGTTCCGAGACGTAAACTAGATACGTCGATTCATTAAACTTCGGCGGCTTATTATTTACATCTATAATGTTTACTGTAACAGTAGTAGTGGCAGTTTCTTTGACAGGTGTACCAGAATCAACGGCGTATACGATTACTTCGTATTTTTCACCGCCAGTCTCCAGATCCAAGCGAGCGTCAGGAGACACAGTTATAATGCCAGAACTGTAATCAACATCCTATATTATTATATCAATTTTTATCTTATTATACTTTTATTGTTAAATTTGTTAATAAATACTGTTAAATCTTGCAAGTTAAAGTAGTAAAAAGCAAAATAATTAAAATAATAAAAAAATAATAAAAATATAGCAAGATTTATTTAATCAAATTTATATCGCACCTGGAATCAATAACAAAATTATCCTTAGAACCAGACGCTATGTAATACTGTAGCAGGTTGTCTCTTCCATCGGGATCATTGGCGATCACTCGAATAACTTCCGTTCCCGGAGACGCGTTCTCCAAGAGTCTTGCCCGATAAGTACTGGGACCTGGTAAGTTTGACTTGTAATTTCCTCGGAAGATGGGTTTCTGATTTCCGGGGACTCCCACGCGAACATAAAGTTTCGCCTCGGAATACAACGGCGGTGTGCCGGCATCCATCGCACGGATTATTAACTCATAAATGCCTCTTTCAGTGTCGCCGGAACGAACCGGCTTCGACATGGTTACCTCACCTGAATCTGGATGGATCTACAAATTTTCCAGTAAGAAAGAATAAATACCTAAGATATAATATCTAATATAAAATAATATTTAAATTATATTATGAAATGTAATATTATTTTTTTTGTGTCATGCATTTTTATTTTTAAATATTTAACGAAATAAATTTATAAACTGCCAACACACCCTGAAGACGTCGTTTGTCATACTATTATGCCGGTCAATTGAGTACACAATTTTTCCATTGCCTTGCGTCGACCCGTCGACGTCGGTCGCCCTGACAAACATTTGCGGATCGAAGCTGGTAGCATCTTCACGAACCGTCCTAGAATACTCCGCTTGCTCGAATACCGGCTTGTTGTCGTTCACATCATTGAGTTCGATGACAATATTGACGGCGGACACTCGACCACCACCGTCCTTCGCCTCCATCGTCAACGAGTAGGACTTCTGCGTTTCGTAATCCAGTTGCTTTGCCACAAATACTCCACCCATTTGCGGGTCGGTTCTGAACTTGTCCGCGCCGAAACCTCGCAGCGTGTACGTTAGCTTGCCGAAGGAACCGCTGTCGTAATCCTTCGCGAAAATGTTGCCGAAGCTAGTGCCGGGTTCTGCGTCTTCCGAGACCGACAGTTTGTACACCGATTGAGAGAACTCGGGACTGTGATCATTGGCGTCCAACAGCTGAATGTGTACTCTGGACGCAGCCATCTGCAGCATAAAGTGTTTTATAAGAATTTTAAAAAAAGTGGCGAGATATTTCTTATGCAAAATAAAGTTTGGATTTAAAGCAGAAACGCATAAAATATTTTTATTTCAAAATACATTCTGAATATTTAAGTAATATAAAAATTATTTTGCTACAAATACTGTAATTACAATCGTAAAGAACTAACCACTTTGTTCGCCACAATCGCGATGACATCGAATTCGAGTTCTCTCTTTGCGGGATTATCAACGTCGTAGTCGAGAACATTGACGTCCTTAGCCTTGATTACTACCGGTACTCGACCCTGAGCTTCTTCCGGGCTGACAGTGAATGCCTTGCTGATTCCTGGATACCTCGGTACGTCGCGTAACGCCAGGAAATATTTCGCATTGTCGCCCACGTCACCATCGCTCACAATCATGTTCAAACCTGCTTAATTATAATGTTGTCAAACGAAAAATCCCGTTTGTTGAATCATTAAAAAAAGAAAGGCGGAAAATAGAGAGAAGCTTTTTACGCTAATATTAATGCTAGTGTAAACATTCTTCACAAAAATTTTTATTGACAACAAAACAATGTTCTTTTTTCAAGCTTTAAACTTTCACGCGGCCGCACTGTTCTGTCGCGTCGAGACGTTCAAGCGCTTAAAATTTTCCAATAGCCGTAATTCAGCGAAAAATCATCGTAGAAAGAAAATTAAAAAAGTATTTTAAAGCTTGAAATTTTTCCATGCTGTAGGCCATTTAAAAAAATTTTTTATCTTTACACTTTTAAGTTTGAAAAAAGAACACATTGTTTTATTGTTAATAAATAATTTTTTCTCGCAAAATCTATGACAAGTATCAAAAACTACAACATTGTATCTACAAAATGTATTTTTTTAATTTTGCTACGATTTTTTGTTCGAGTCCGATAATTTTTAATTCAACTTTATATTTTGTAACGTTTGCCAGCATAAATATTAGCGTAAAAATAGAGGTTTAGGTTCGACGTCTGAAAAGCATTCTCTATTTTTTTGTGAAATACTGTAATTAACCGACTTAACAACCTGGCAGAGGAGTATCTTTTCCGATGTCCTCGGAGATCTTGATGCTGAAGTAATCTTCGTTGAAAACAGGCGCAAGGTCATCCACGTCCTTGACGACAATCGTGACTATCGACGTTGCAAAGTCGGCTGGTATCTCGTTATTGATCAGCTCGATAGCTCTAATTTGGAAGGTGTAAATGCCACCGTTTTGCAGGATCCTTGGATCCTCGCGATCGAGAGACACATTGGTCGTGATCAGTTTACCGACTGTGACGTCACCCTCGCGAGACATCTCGAGATCGAAGTGGCCGGCATCTTCATCCTCCAACGTCAACAACAAATTTCGAGGCTGGCCGGTGTCACCGTCACGCGCTCGCACTATCAGGACCGTGTGACTAGCTGCGGTGTTCTCCGGAAGTGCTGCGCTGTAAGGCGCATTCAAGAAAACGGGTGGCTGATCCTGCGCGGCAGAATGATGTAAATTTGATTTTATTATGACAGTAATTCTCCAAAAACAATTGCTTCTTTCTATAAATCTCACAGTATCTCTATTATAAATCATTGTAACAAAGATAAAATAGTTTGACATTTTACATAATAAATTTAATTATATAATATTGATTTGTAAACGACAAATTGCTCTACATTTATTTTTTTAATTTAAGTACATGGTTATAATAATGTGGCGTCTCTGAATTTAATTTTATCGACACATTTATATAACCAAGGAATTTTGTCCAATGAAATAATTATTAATAAATTTTTTATAATTAAAAAATACATGTTATTGTTAATTAATTAATTTTTATCATTCATGTAATATTTCTACAGATCAAAAATGTATTATTCTTCTCTAAATCAAAGATTATTAATAAGTAGGTCAATAAAAGTGCGACACCGGAAATTAAATATACAAGGGATGCGACATAGAAACAAGTTCGCTAAACTCATTGCTTCAGCGAATAAATGTTACTCGTGGCCGAGATGAGTCTCCACTTGACAGCGTCCGTGCTGACAGGCAGAGATTGAATAACAAGTTGATGATTCCCTGCTAATTTTATCGCAAACGACGTGATTATCCAATATAAGACTGCCGTTGATTACGTGCAGTTATTTCAGGGACGATCGAGACCTACTTACCTGAACATCGAGGACATCAACGGCAACGGTCGCTCTGGCCTGCAACCGCTTCGATGGATCGCTGGCTCCGTCGATAGCCAGCAGATTAATCAAGTACGAATTTCTTCTCTCGTAGTCTAACGGTTTCGCCAGCGTGATTTGCACGTCATATTTTCCCTCAGCAAGCTAAAAGAAGACATTGCGTCTTTCAACTTATTAATTTCTTCGAAATTTTTAAACTAATTGCAATATACATTTCATATATTTGCTTTCTTACTTAATTAATTCAAATTTTTCAGCAATTTTGTATTAATTGCAATTTTGTATAATTCTATTACGATGATAACTATCGATATTTAGTATAAACATGATAAAATTACCTTCTCCGTGGAGATGTCAAAAACTTCACAGACATCGTCATCGCGGGACGCCGCGACACACTGCACGTGAACGTCGGCGTTCACTCCACCGTCTCGATCGGTGATCGTGATCGTTCCCGCAGGAAGTAATAAGTCACCCACGTGCGCACTTTCTGGCACTCTGGCCGCGTATGGCCGGTCATGATAAACCGGTGGATTATCATTTTCGTCAAGCACAGCTATTTCGCGACGAAGGGACACTGTATTGGGTTCCGATCCGGCGATGCCTTCGTCTGAAATGGGCAAATTTATCCTTCAAAAATCTAATGACACGTTAAATTAATTTAATAAAATAATTAAAACTATTTACTTAATTTACAGTAATTTGAAATCTAATTAAAATTATTTAATATAGAATTCTTCAATAATTTTATCAAAATAATTTCAAATAACTGAATTATTCATATAAATTAAAAATATGTATAACACGACGATTATTGTGTATCAAATTAAGCATACAGCTACGTTCTTGTAACAAATATTTTACCTGTTATGCTAATGATGACTTCGATAAGATCTTGGGCTTCTCTGTCCAAGGTTTTCCTTAAAATTACGACACCGGTCTCTCTGTTTACGGTAAAGTACTCGCCGCTAATAGAGTAATGCAATTTGGATCCCTCAGGATCCTCTCCCTGAAGAGTGTAAACGGGAGCACCAGGTGGTGTGCCCTCCAACACGGCCAACCTGGCCATGTCTCCACCGTGAATAAAGTGGGGCGCCCTGTTTATCACCTGGCCCCATGACGAAGACCATGCGGAGACCAGCAGCAATAAAATCGTCCACATCGTCACCTGCGATCGACCCGTGCTTTATCCGGGAATTAGTAATCGTAATATAATAATCACAGTAATAAAAATAAATTAATTGAAATTGATAAAAATTAATTAAACTATTAATTCTGTAATAGTTTAATATTACAGAAAATAAAAGTTATTAGATTATAAATCGAGCCATAAATTAGATATTCGATTTTTTATTCTTTTGTAATAAATACCAATTAATAAGTAATAAATAAACTTATCAGTAATCGATAGAATTATGCATCATCTTTTTCTATTTAATAAGGAAAAAACACAGAAATATAATTATTGAAAGAAAAAAACAAAGAATGAGCAAGAATATTGCAGAAGATTCTGTAGAATTATTACAGTTCTCGACAAACCATTATACAAAAAAAAAGTTACAACCAGCGCATGCAAACGAGCGTGCGGATAGGAAATAGCAATCGCGTGAGTAGGATATAACGTGATCCAAAGGCGCTGTAGCCTCCACTTAAGCACGACTATTAGCCGTCTACTGCCACATTCTTTTTAGTCGCTCTGCGAGAGAGAAGTTCAGCGTGCAAGCGAACCGCAACCGGTAATCCGCAATCGCGGCCGGCCGGCATCAGAATGCGTTTTCCGCCGAGTGAAACGCCGTTAGAAATCAGATTCCATTTCAGGAGCTCATAGCCATTCGTAGTTGCCAATCTATACGTGAGAATATCTCGACGACGTGACCAAATCGAATTGCAAAGTTATTACAAATGATAGAAAAGCGCCGGTTTTCACCTTACTATGCGTATTCTCAAAGAATCAAAAAATGAGTTCGTGGAAGAAAATTATTTTACGGCGCGTTGTTTTGCGAGAGAAAATTGTCTGCGTCATAATTCACCTTCCGTTAAAATTTATGTTACAAGAGAAATTGTCTTTTTATCTACAAAACCACGAGAAGAAAATTTTAATATAAAAAAAATATAAAAAAATATAACAAAAAAATAATTATCTTAATATTTATGTAATTATTTAAACAATTTTTAACAGCTTTGTGTGTGTGTGAGCTATTTACGAAAATAACATAGACAGCTAAAGAGATACACAAATCTAAGATTAATATTAATGGGAAGAGTATTGTTGACTGCCGTAATTGCTTGCTCCATTAATTAATGCTCCCACGCAGCATCTACAAAGAGACAGCATCAAGACGAGATGCGAATCGCGTCTTATCATTAATATTGCGTGGGCAGATAAGACGCGACGTAGTGTTACCAAGAAGAAACGCGACTGACGAGAGCAACAATGACACACAGCGTGGGGTAATGGCCCTGCATTTCCTCGACGCCTTCGTGCGTGCAGAGCGGCCTCAACTTCCGCGTTCTACCGACCGCGGTCGTCGTCAGGGATTGTCTCCAGAAGACGTAATTATCAATCGAGAGAAGAAAGAAAATTCATGGTTGCCGACACTTGGTTCTCATTTGCTCTCGTGTGTCTTAAAAACAAAGTTGACGCAAATTTTTATTTATGCGCTAAGAGGAAACGCGTATATACACGCGATGCGAAATGCAATTTTATATAGCAAGAATATAACACGCAAACTTACATGTGCGAGCGAGTTTATGACAGAAAGAAAGAAACAAAGCAGTGCTTTAAAAAAAAAAAAGAACAAAAAAAGTACTGATAATTGCAAGCACAAGTATGTATTTGTGTGACTCTCGAAAATTTCCGAATGTTTATATAAATTTTGAGTTTGAACAATAATTATTTTAGATGTGTATTTTTTTATTTTGTAAAGTTTTTTTGTTTAAAATAAGTTTTTCTGTATAATTGTTATGATTTGTTAGAGCATGTTTTATCGTAATATCGGCGAAATTACTGTATTTAACTTTCATTATCGTAGTTTTATATTATGCGCAGATAGAATCTAAATTCTTCGTATCAAGTAAACAAATTTACAAATCAAATAAGTCAGCTTTGAATAATGGAAGTAGTAGCTTAAAATTGTTGAAATCGAGATTCCTTTGCATAAAACAATTAGTCTTAATTGCTAAACGTAAATCAGCATAATGCAATATATAAATTTGAATACAATTTTTATCTATCCAACCAAGTGTCTAAACTTCAAACAGTAGTAACCCAGTTTTATTTCGTATTTAAAATAAAATAGGTACACGCTCATTCAATAAAAGGAATAAAAAAGATGGGAGAATTTAATACAATAGAAGAATTTGAAATACAAACGAGATTTCTTAGATAATCCACAATTAAAATTAAATCACGTAATTGTGTAATCGCTACTTGAGTGCAAGCACTGAATGATGTGTAACACTAATAGGAGCGTATTATGTCAAAACAGACTCGGTTTCTCCGACTCCGATTACTTAGAGTGATGCGGAAAACTGCAGGGTGCGAAAACCATGACGGCGATGACCGTCTGTGCATTGCGTTTTACCGAGCGTATTACTACACGTAGAGAATCTTAAACACAGAAGCGACCGTTACTGCCAGCCAAGTATAAAATGATACCGAGATTGAATGATGCCTCTGACCGCAGCGAGTGCAGCGAGAAAGGAACCAAGCGTAATTCGCGTATAACGAAGTGTTTGGAAATGAAAACTTACGAAAGACCGTCGTAATTATATAACACTATTCTCTCTTCCACTCTCGCGCTTTTGTAGTTATTTTGCCAACACGTTTTCACGATAAATAAATTCATAATGGAATTATTTTTTTAACAAACTCGCTACTAAATATATTTACATTTTCACGGAATTTAAATGCATTTATTAATAGAACAAATTTATTGCAAATAATATAAAATTATTCTTTATAATTTTCAATTTAATAATTCTTATTATTTTACATAACGTTTTGTCACAAAGTGGAATAAATCGATTAAAAAAAATTATTATTGACCTAATTATCCTTTTTTAAAGTATTTGTTTGTCAGAGATTTGCATTTGTTTTATTTTAATATATCAATTGATTATTCAGCACGAAATATTTCCTTGACATTTAATAAGTATTCTACTGGTGTCCACGAAGAAGTAAAACGTATATCGCATATTAATCATTACGTTTCATTGGAATATTTTTTGCATTCTGTCATATTTTGCTATTTATCTCTTTGAAAAGTACATCTTTTCATAAAATAAACATGCTTTCATTCGCAAAATTTTTTTCGAAAGACCTAAATAATATTTTGTAATAAATAAAAGAAAATAACTGTACTTGTGTAAATTTATCCTTGTTAGAATTTTATATCGCAATTATTGAATGCTTTAATTCACAATTTGTAAACTATATGACTTTCACAAAAGTAGATTTAGATTATCGTATAACAGAATCCTATCTTTCATATTTGCGAGCGATAATAAGTAACAGGATTTAATTAAAATCACGTGTATAGGTAATAAAATTCAAGAGTGTCTACTCTATAAATTATTCCAAAACAGATAGTTAAATCAAGAGAAGAAGCGGCGAGAGAGGAGCACAAGTGGGACAGGTAGCAGGAAAGACAGAGGCAGCGAAAGAGTGACGAAGAAGGAAAAAAACCGTTACACCCCTCTTCCTCTGATCTCCGTTACGTTACGCGCTTGGAATCCTGACACTGCGTGACCAGGTGATGCCAGGATGAATGACGAAGAAAAGGAATATCCTGCTGCGCCGCGTGTGTACCTTCTTACAGGTCTTCACTTTCATCAACACGTCTCGCAACAAAGGGCGAAATCGACGAATAAATTCCAAATACGTAATAGAATTCGCACAATTCTTTGGAAAACTAATGGATTAAATTTCTTCAATCCAGCAATTTCAAGTCGCAAACATACGAGTAATATTTTACGCAAGCAAAATCGCAGAATTCAAGTGCGACTTCTTCAAGAAGGATTATCTTCAATTATTCTTTAACGGATAATTAATTTTTTATCGCGTAGCATTTTTGTAACTCTACAAAATTTATTTAAAACGATGGCTTAATGACAACACTCTCACTTTTGTGATAATATATTTTAAATTATGGAAGAAACTAATTTACATCAGGAAATAGGAATTCCTATATTAATATGACTTGTTCGCGGATATGAGTCTCCTCACTCTTTTCAGATTGCTAGCAATTTCGATAATTCCCGGAAATCGTTTGTCCTATTAACTGCCGGAAGTCATGCGAAAAATCGCCGTCGCAAAACTCGCACCCACGCAACTTTTCCTGCTACACGAACTTAGTGCCGGTTCCTTGAAATCAGGACTTCGCCACAAACTCGCCAGTCAGAACTGGTTTCTACATGGAATAACGATAAGATTCAATCAGACTTACATGGCTCCACGAGACTTATCAACTGTTTCTAACAATTCGTTGGAATTTTTGATTACGCATACATCAAGCTCCGAAAATTAAAACATAGAGCAAATTTTCAATTTATTTTCATGATAAAGAATATATTAGTGAATTCAATAACTTATTGTTGTAATACATAATTATAAAAATCACATTAAAATGCATATAATATTTAAATTCTTTTTAATATTGTTCAGTTTCATTAAATAAACGCGACGCACAAAAATTGTGAAAGCCCGATAACTCCAGATTCTAATATCGCCGCTGTATCATCGTTGCAGACACCGAACAAAAGGAGAAGCGTGATGATCCCGTTGCATCAAGAAATCGTCATCCTCGAAAGAACGAGACGATATCCTCAATCGATGACCTCAATTCCTCGACTGAAGTCGGTATTCAGACCCGGAGTTCGATTTCGATCACTTCTTTTCTATTTTACATTATTTCCTTTGCCTGCGTAATATTCTAGACATTTAGTGTTATGTAAAGTGTTCTCCAATATTTGATAACAAAGGAATTTGATAAAAATAAAACACTTTTGCTGTAAGATAAAATAATCCTAGCACACCTATAAGCACTTCTGATAACGAAAGCAATATAAATATAAGAATTTTTCTACATCTTTATAATAAAATCTACAGAAACTGGATACTACTAGAATACTAATAACTAAAACAAAGACTAAAATGGAATCGATTCAACTCTCATTGCTGCAAGATAAACAATCCCTCCATATTGATATTTAACATTCTCCGACGCCTGTACCAAATTTGCAAAAATTGAACGATGACTATTGATTCCAACGCAAATCCTCCATTATTTGGACAGTTTCTCCAAAGTTAATATTCGAGTCAACGTTTTCGGCGATTAGCACTTGCTCAACAACTTGAAGATTTCATCACTCTTCGTTTAACTCACAGGACTTACCTTCCAAAGTCGCTCCGAGATCCCGCGCTGGCACAACACAGATTATCACCTCATCGTGTCACGATACCGCACGTGCTATATTTCCGCACACCGTTCGGCGTATGTTCACTTAAAGGTATCCGCAAGACCGCACCGGATCCGCATCACGCACCAGCGGACAGATAACTAAAAGGGCGAGTAGGCGCGAGCGTGTCCCTCTACCCTCTCGTCGGGCATCAGCGTCGTTTCGGATGGAAAAGAGAAGCAACCGGTGTCTGCCAGCCAATGGACAGGTCTACACTGCATCCTAAGGAGGTATGCGGCCTCCACTACAGCGAGTGGAAGGCACGAAGAGAGAGAGAAGCCGCGCGCCTCGGAGTAAGAAGAGTCTATAGTCCGTGCCCGGTAAAGACCGACGACCTGAGGGGCGAGTCTTTTTTGTCGCGTTGCCGCGCGGGGTGTCGGATGACCCTCGAGATTCGTTCGACATAACCTTCGACCGACAACAAAAGGGTGGCGTTTAATCTCGAAGTGATTGTGTGTCTTATGAAGGGACTCTTCTCAAAGTTTATAGGACGAGAAAAATTTTGACTTCTCTGATACGAAGAAAAAGAGATTTTATTTTATAATATCTTGCAAAACAATAAAATATTATAAAATACAATTTTTTATGCAATGGAAAATTTTGCTAATAACATTTTTAATAATGCAAAATGAATTTTATTATATTTTAGTCTTTTATTAGTTTTTTCGCGAGATCGGATCATCTGTTAGACGCAATTCTCTCTCTCTCTCCTTAATGCTATTTGTGATAAATCGTAGTGAGTCATCTGTTTAACATATGATGCGATAGTAATGAGATAGTAATAAAAGATGAAAAGGTATAGGGAGGCAACTAATGATGAGAACGGAATTGCGTCATCAGTTTTCCTGACATTTCGTTTGCTGGAAGCAATCTCGAAGATGTCATAACTTTTCGGTACAGTACTTTAATTAATATCAGATATGCCATCACAAATGTCATTTGGAGTTTATTTACGTCGAAATGAAATAAATCCTTTTAATACACCAACGTAACAATAAAAAAAATACATAACTGCATTTTACAGAGAAAATTTCACAAGAGAAAGTGACATTTTTTCATTCAATGAAACGTCTGCTTTTATAAAAATGATATAATTATCTTCTCTAAAAAGGTCTTCATAGTTTCTCTTGAGCTAAGAATTTTTCTTTAATACCCGATCAATAAAATTACCGTTTAAAATAATAAATTATTATTTAACTATAGTAATATATTTATATTTTATAACAATACAAATGTAATAAAAATGTATCATTATAATTCTAGATCGTTATTTGTAAACAAAAAAATATGTAAAATCGTCAATTAATTAATTTATTTTTAACAAGTTGCTTTGATTTAATATCAAATTAAGATAGATTAGAACAAAATAATATGACTGCCTGGTAGCGTTAGCAATTAAATCACATTTCAAAAATCACATCTCGACGCGGTACAAGCCGATCTCTCTCGCGAGTTCCTCGTTCTTGTTTATCTCGCCGGAGAGATAATTCAAAAGGCCTCTCCCGTGGTACAAGACGAGTGTGTTTAACGTGTGCGAACTATAAAGGAGCAACGTTAAAATGCCGAAGGCTCGGCGTGCCTGTCTCTTTCCGTTCTCTCGTTCGTTCTTCTCTTCTCTTTCGCTCCTTCACTTGGTGGGGATGAAAAGGACGTGGAAAAGGGGTATCCGTGAATCGTGGCGCGATCGGGGAATAAGGACGACAGTAGAGGAACCGAGAGAAAGGCAGAAAATCAGTCAGGTAAGAGAAGGACCTCGCTACATAGCGGGCGAGCGGGGAAGGGAATTGTACAGTTAGCAAAGGCCGCGGCGAACGCGGCTCCACCTTCGACGATAGAGTATCAGGCCGGTGTCTAAAGTCGGACAGAGATTGTTTTCCTCTCTATACAAACGGGGCAACGTGCTGATCAAGACCTATCCAAGTTGTCGGAGATCGGCGAGACCGGATTCTGGGTCTCCAATCGCGCGCGCACGCGCACTTCAGTTTCGAAATCGCAACATTGGCGAACGAACAATTGTCAATCATCGCAACTTTTGACCTGGAGAATTGTTGTAGATTTTTCTACAATTAAGTTATGTAATTGAGATAATCAGTTAACGAGATTCGTGAAGAAAAATAAAAATTGATAGTCACAGTATTAGATAATAATTTTTACGAAGAGAATTATAGATAATTATAACAAATAATTGACATACATATTTAGATTGCCTTATTAATATTAAGTTATATTGTATCCATACATTCACGATTTTAATAATTAAGTAAAATTAAAGCTTGCTTACGTATTTATCAATTAAGAAAGAAGAATTCGAGAAATTAATATACGCTTCCCATATTTTAAATTCCTGACGGCGAATTTCATATGTTTGCGAGATTGCAGAAATTCAGAAGGCACATACGTAAGATCGCATTGCGTCCGCACGTGACGCGTTTGTAAAATAATATAGCGTTTTCGATTATACAGGATTTGAACGACCCAAGATTGGTTAATGACGTCATTGCATCCTCTCCACCAATGAAAGACTTGCATTTATAGTAAAATAGTGATTGATCAACCCTAGATCGTTCAAACCCCGTTTATTCGAAAACGCTAATAAACTGTGACAATAAAACCACAAGGAAGAACGGCGTGAGAGAGATCGCGTCTGCCAGCGCGAGCATCGCCGACGCAATCTTGTTTCTTTCTCCGTTTCTTTCTCCCTCTCACTGTTCCTCTAACTCGCATACGTTTCGTTGCGAGCGTCCTGTTACGACTATGGGAAAACTCCCGTGAACTACATGAGGCACAAGGGTGTTGTCAGTTAGATAACCTACTTCTCACGCGCGCCCGCGCCGCTCGCACCGAGACCTTTTGAATCGGCACGATTGCGCGCACGACGATTCCTCTCGTGAGATTATCACGATTTGGCCGAGCCACACCTGTCCAAAATAATTTTCAAAAAAAAAAAACGAAAAGCGACTTAACTCGTGTTAATATTTGTATTATTCGACGCAAGAATAAAATAAGTCCATAATTTGTAAGACACATTTAAAATATTCATATTTAAAATGGATCTTTAATTATATGCTTAGCTTATTCTTATAGCATAATTTTAATTTTGATGAAAAATAAGCTGATTGATATAAACATTTTCAAAATAAATTATTTAAATAATTATTAGATATGGTTTAACAGCAGTTTCTCTAGATAATAAAATGGATTTGATACAAAACCATAATTGATCAATTTTGCAAAGAACACAAATCTACTTTCCGGAACTACTTTCGAATAAAGCATTCATGTGGTTTGCACGTAACCGCTTTCTGTTTATTTATGAAGTACGATGATATACTGCAATAAATTCACTTGTTAACTTTCCTCATATCATCATTTAATGTTAATCATTTTATGGTGAAATAATTGTTCTATTTAATATTATTACAGTTAAGTATTATTACCAATTATAGCATAACGCTAATTCTTATGCAACTAAAATTAAAATTCTTAATTAAATAAAATTCTTTCTTTAATTACTTGTTTAAAACAATTTTTAAATGGAGAAAGATAAAATAAAAGAGAAATATTAACCTAATAAAAAATTAATAAAATCCAATATTTCACCCTTTTTTGCATTTTTATAAAATGGAAAATTGATATCTTAACGGAAAGAAAAATAAAAATAATTTGCCGAACGTTTCTTTCCTATTTTACAGAAATATTTCACGGATACCTACGAAACCAGTTGGCGCAATTCCATTGATTGCCCTTCACCGATAAATTATCCAATTAGAGCGAATCGCCTTTATCGCAGTAGAAACCCTTTTTTCGAGCTTGACGGTTTCGTTTTACGAACGAGCGCGAGCAGCGTACCTACACGCCCCTTTTTTATTTGATTTTCAATTCTACACGCCTCTGGGACAAATCTTTCGTGTAATTTCCAATATTTCCGCCGGCCGATCGAACATGTGTCTGCAACGGCATCGATTTCACGGCGACCTTTTATCGGCGCTGCGAATTTTCAAAGTGTGAAAAGGGTTGGAGGTTCTCTTTTTTAAAGGGTGAGCAAATAACAATACAGAAAAAATATGTATTAGAAATGGCTACATATAAAATCTACTTTTTCAGATTTATGTTTAAAAATCATTTTTAGATATTACTTTTTTATATTTATTTCAAATATTTTTCTGGCAATATGCGTCGCATGTTTCTTAATAATTACTTTGTCACGCTTGTAATATTTCTGCAGAATAATGACGGAATAATAAGATAATAAACAAAATAATAATAATCACTGTAAGAAAGCGTAACAGCGCATGTTAACAGTGGAAGTAAAACTTAACAGTGTGAAATTGAACGAGAAAATTATTTCTCCCGAGAAGTAAATGTCGCAAGGAAGTGATTTGTAATGACTGACTTGCGGTGTCGGCAAATATTGCTCCATAAATATCGAACAATCTGATATTTACTTCCCTTTCTCATTTCATTATGAGCGAGCATTCGAAGGCACATAATGCCGAACATAGTCTCGCGAAGAGAAAGTGAATTTATTCAAGCCCACGCGGCAACCGTCACAGTTAAATCTTAATTATCTTTAGTTTACGTAAAACGTTTTTTTACTTTGTAATAATCTCACACTTTATACTTTACGTATTTTACATTAAAAATAAATTTCCAATAAAAGTATCAATTTTCAAAAATATATCTAAAAAAATCAATTAACAATTAACATTTTTAATTTAAATTTATCCACGAAAAGCAACCAGAGGAATATGAATAGTTATTTAACCTTTCTCTTATGCAAATAATGAAACATTCAACCGTTGCAATACATTCAAAAGAATGCATTGCAACATAATGGCGTGAGATACGAAGGTGGATCTGTGCCAGATCGGTCGGCGCACCTATGCAAGGTGCAACGCTCGTAAATACGACGCATCCGGAAGATTACTTGCTTAGGAGCGTTACAATTATGCAAATTGATCGAACGGTGCTATAATTCCCCCCACGTTAACCGCTTCATCTTCCGTTTACGGCATAAAAGAAATTTAGCGCAAAAACCGGCAGCGCGCGACAAAAGTAATTGCACGAGTCACGTACCAGCACGTTATCAGACTGTAATGAAGGATCTGAAAAACGATTTCAAGGTGATCAAGCAATTTCCTGATACAATGCAACTTCAAGAAAATATCTTGCATTTGTACCGCGTCATGCGGCACTAATAATAGAACAGTTTCCTTTTAACGTAGAAAAGATCAACTTGATAATTCGATAATTTAATATTATAAATCATTAATTCTGCATTTTACTACCAATTATAAGACTAAAGATAATTATTAATAATTAAATATATTAATAATAGTTGCTAATTTCAAAGTTCTAATGTATTTTAATCATTTTGTTATTATTTATTATCAGAGATGTAAATGTGAGATCAGTCTTATCCTACCAAAGTTCCTTTATTTTAATTATGTTTTAAAATTTTGTTAACACAATACTAACAAAGAAAGCACTTAGATGAGTCGTATATCTTAAACTCCAATTGTTTTCAATTCTTCTTGTTAAATTCTCGATTTTTTCGCAACTCGTACAAATAGACACGAAATATTTACAATCATCTCCAGCAACACATGTCACGATTGCCTCAATTCGCACGCGATTTATGTAAAAAAAAAATGCGAAGTCGCAGATTCATGTAATCATCACCGGAAGGCGAACAGAGTTGATCTGTGTTTGTTTCGGTTGAACAAATTGTTGACAATACACTCAGAATACGTGAATATCTTTTGATAACGAATCCTCGTGCAAACAGAGAACACGTGTTCTTGATTTTTTTCGTTCCCGAGGGTATAGGTCGCCGATCTTATATTATTTATGATAGAGTCCCGCGCGCGATTAACAACCAAAGTTCGGAGTTTGCTAAAACCGATCGCGCATGTGGCATTAAAACATACATAATTCAATTTATTTCAAAGTTCTGTCTGTCAAAAACTAATAATATTGTGATTGATAGACGCTAATATGTCGCACCAATCGTTGATTAGTGTTCCTATCTTCGTATTATTGATCCCTATACAAACTGATATTACATGTCGCGCTATTAAGTGTACAAGATACACTTTGATAGTTTCGTTTGCTAGGCACCTCATATTTTCTTTCACATTACAACATATTAAAGATAATATTTATTTGACTAATAAACTTTGATTGCAACGATCATAGAGTTGATTATGTTGTTATATTTGTTAAAAAAATAGATTCTTTGATTAAAAATCAATAAAATGTCAAAAAGTGTCAAAAATGCAATTGTCAATTATTAACACATTTTTAATTAGTTTATTCTGATAAAATATATTACAAATTGCCTAGTAGTAGAACATGTAACGTTCTTTTTCAGGTTTTTTATTTCAAGAGACACGAATATAAATAAAATTTTATAAGAAAATCAAAATATAATTGAGATATAAATAAAATAATAAGATAATTGCTAATTGATAAAAAAAATCAATTTTTACAACAGTTCACAATTTCGTAGAAATTCTTTCCTGAATACCTTGTTAACACAACCCGTTTCTATAGCGATGTGCCGGACATTATCAGCTGATCAGCGAATGTGACATATGGTCTTTGATTTTATTAGATTATCTGTCACTTATTTTCAGCCATAGATTGTGCATATTTGTTAGGTGACTACGAAACCGCGAACTTTCACGAAGAAATATTATAAATTGTAAGTAATAAATATATATTACATTTTATAATTATCTATTTTATTTATCTCGCACATAACACAGAATATAACATAATTGAAAATATTAAGTATGTAAACGTTTGTAGAGACAATTTATTAATCAGTATAATTATTGTAATTTATAGATAAAAACTAATATTTGTCTTTGTTACATTAAAAAATATAAAAAATTATATTTTAATTGTGACAAATATTACCATATTTGACAATAAATAAACATTTTATTTATCAATTAAACTATGAATCAGATATCTGCAAAATGTCAGATAATTGCATAAATTAGTAAAAAAAATAAAGAATTTATACACCTTACCACACTATATTTCGAAGTAATAAACGCCTGTTTGTAGCCAACCCATTATACTTTACAGACGGACGGTGCACAAAGTCCTTTAACTACTACAGAAAACATGGTATGTGTTAACAACACTGACAGTAATATAATCTCTTTTGTATTATTAATGATAAAAATGCAAAAATTTTCTTATCATAATATTTAAATTTTTTAATAAGAAATTATTCAGACGGTTTCTAATGTATAAAATTTTTAAATTCAAATTTTAGACGCTTAAAATTTCTTTTAAAAGCTTTTTAGGATTTGTAGCTGAGTAATATTAGCCCTTTTCAGATATTATTATAAAATTGTATATATTAATTTCCGAACGGCAGCTGCATTAAAAACTGAAGGTATCCGAAAAAATTGATTGTAAATTCGAGATCCGCTCGTACACAATAATCTCAAAGCGGTGTAATCGTCCTAAAAACCTCTAATCTTCTAACAAGGCGGCTACATCGCCGTGGCACGCGTCTAATGCATACACGAGGAGGAGCGGGGAGAGCGCTAGAGGTACCCCTCTATGGTGATTATGGGGTGAACTCTCCCGGTGCACCATAGAGCCTCACGGTGGCCCTGGACTCCGTGGAGGGGGCGAAATACCCCCGGGACGATATATATGTTCTAAGAGCCCCTTGCCACATGCACAGTACCAAATTGTACCCCGCCTAGTCCGCTCGTTGGTCTTGTTTCCTCGTTTCAATCGTCGCGTTCAGTCGCGATACGCGCTCCGCGAATTTTTATTAAACGCGCAACGTTTATTCTTATCTATCAAAAGTGCAGTTTCTCTACCTTGTGCTGTGTGTTTTTCAAGAAATTTGCTTTGCCTCTAATTTGTTCAAAGGTGCGCTAAAAATATTTGACAACAAAAATTTTGGAATAGTGTGCAACCATTAAATATGATATGCAACAATTTATTGTGTAAAGTTTTTTTAGAGAAAGATTTTTCTTTCTCTTTTTCTCTTTCTTTTTTCAATAAAAAAATATTAAAATTAGTTTAATAAAACTGTGATAAAACAATAAACTTAATTTTTTTAAATCTAGAAAATAGATTGAAATAAAAAAATATAATTAATTATAATATAATTAATTATAAATATTACATTTTTTACAAAAAAGATATTTTTTTGATGTTCTAAATGTAATTGTAGTTTATAATCATAATAACTTTTGTATATAAAACTAGTATAAAAGAATTAATATAAAATTGCTTGTTCGTTTTGCGTTACAGCAAGACACGGCAATGTCATCGGAGTACTCATTCTGTAGCGAGGGAGGCTTTGATGAACTCTCGAGCTCCTCCGATTCTGGTTTCGATGTGAGCTTTGAATCACCGAAACACGAAGTACCAACCGATACTCTTTTCCCTGCGGCTAAAGAGGAGAAGCGTAAAAAAACACGGAACACTCGTTGCAAAAGTCCAACCCAGGTATAATGTCAATTTTAGCTACCAAAAATCTCTAACTTTTTGTCTATTTTCCTTAGTTAAAGCCTATCCTCTCAGACAGATTTACTTAAGAAAGTCAAGTCTCTCAATATCCATTCTACAAACAGGTACTAAGGCTAAAGAGAAACCGGCGGATGAAGGCAAATGATCGCGAGCGTCACAGAATGCACACATTGAACGACGCCCTGGAGCGTCTGAGAATGGCATTGCCGACTTTTCCCGAAGACACAAAGCTCACGAAGATCGAGACGCTGCGTTTCGCGCACAACTACATCTGGGCGCTGTCCCAAACTCTAGGCAATTCCGAAAGCGGCGAAATCACGGTGAACGTCGGCAACGTCACCGTCAGCATCGGTGAGAACGGCAACATGATCACCTCGTCGAGCGGGAGCTGCGCGGTGGCCGCCCAGAAGAGGCTCGGACCGCAGCACACCGCGAGCTTCCCGTATCCTCCTCAAGAACGATTTGTGCCAGAATGGCAGGAATACGATTGCTATAGCGATCAGAGCATAAGTCCACCAATGCAATATCAGCCGTGCTACGACCAGAGGATGTATCAGGTCCATCGTCCTCAACATCAACTACCTCCGCCGCCGCATCATCACATGTCTCATCACAATAATTTGTACCAGTGTCTTTAGGTGTCGATAACACTCGCAGATAACATTCAATTTTGATTTGATTGTTCAAGCCGGTTTTTCAGCATTGATTAATCTTGCCGATTAGTTGAAGTTCTACTCTTTTTTTCTACATCAGTGTTAGAATCACAGAAAAATATAGAAAAGCAGTCACTTCTGACTTTAGAGTTAATCAGAAGAAAATTGAAAATAATTGTTGCTGAAGACGGGAAGTTTTCCAAAGAGCTGATGTGGTTGTAAAAAGAAGGAATAATGTGCTATGATTATCGTTATCTACTTTATAAGAGAGTATTTTATTTGAGAAATATCAAATCGTTTACGATGCTTATATAATGTAAGTCGATTGGAGTGATTCTTAATTCTGCTTTCAATTGCCGATGGATGCATTTTGCTTTGCATTGATCGAAAAATAGGTGGAAAAACATATAATCGAGATGTACGATGATATTTTTGCAATCCCGACCGTTTTAAATTCAAAACTGTGCAAATGCGTTTTTTTATTCAATTTTAGAAGTAGTTTAATGTGGAAGGAAATATCAGATTTTAAAACCATTAAAAATCAAAAGATCAATTATTAATTACACTATATATATGTCTATTAATTATTAATTATATATAATGTAATAACATATAATTAATAATTGTAACATTACATGTAATTAATAATTAATAGTTTTTACACGTTTCATGTCTGCGTTCCTTTTGTTCTAGTCATTAATATGCTTAGTTGATCTCAAACGTTCGATCTCATTTTTGTTCAGCGTATCTTCTTCTAAACTTAAGTCAATTAGAAATATATAGATATATATAGCGTTCACCAGTGCTCTTACTGTAATATGAAAATGCTGATTCAGGGAAAATATATTGTAAATACTTTATCAATAAAAACATATTTTATCTAACATCGTCGTCGATTTTTTCGTCTGCACTTAGATGGTCAGATTTATTATACGTTCTTCTTTCTACGTTTTTTACTACATATTAACGCATTTAAAAATAAAATTTTAGAATGTATAAAATATTTATAATTAAATAATAAAATTAAATAATAAATAATAGAAAAATATGCAATAATATCCATTCATATTTTATTATCGTTAACTTCATAAAAGACTGAAAAGTTATACTTGAATATAGAAGCCGCAGTTTACTGGCTGCATTTTCCCAACAAAATTCTCTAATTCACTTTACAGGAATGGAATGGTAGTTCGAGAGTGGGCAGGCACGTGCGAGGACACGCGTTCTGCACGAAGCCGCTGCAAAGCAGATGTATCACAAATTGTATCTGAAGTTACGTCTACCCGTATAATCCAAGGGATTACACGTAAAACATGACTGCAAAACGTTCAATCAACGTAAGTATTGAAATACTAATTTCCACAAAATTAGCCAAATATTTATAATTAAATTCTGCATTTTTATTATTTTTATAGATTTATTACGGTTTTAATATAAGCTTATAACTTATAGCTTCATGTGTAACAACTTTTTACGATTGAGTTAGATTTTAGTCAAGAAACAATTGTGCTCCGATGTTGCTCATTATTATGCAAAAGCATTTCGATAAAGAAAGCAATTTGCATAACGTGAGTAAGTGGGTATCCCCTCGTGTAGCGGCCAAGTGTTAGCAAAATAAATAGGCGAGTTCGATCGCTCGATCAAACGGAGAGCGAACGAGAGAGAATCTGTCAAAACAGCCCGGAGCGTCCAAAATGGAAGGATAATATTTTTCTGGCTAGTCCTCGAGAAAATTTCACTTTACTTCCGAGATCCACATTCCACCCGTTCGCTGTGATAATATTGATCTATGATCGACTGTTGCAATATATTATTCAATTGGAAATTACATCACATATGTATTATTTAAGATTCTATTCTGATCAACTAATATCACAGTTAATTTTTTTACTATACACTCATTATATTGTAAAAATTATTTTATAAAAACAAAATTAAGTTTTTCTTCTTTTATCTTAAAATTATTTTGATATGATATTTCGTCACAAAGATTACTTACTAATGTTTCTGTTTACAATAATTTTCTTTCACATACTAAAATTTAATTCTTAGGAATATATAATATGTATAATAAGTTCAGACGATTCTACAGATTGCTAATTCAGATGCAACGATCCATCAGGATTGCTGCTGTGCGAACAATAATTTCCTATACAAGATCTATTTGCAAACAGCGTGCAAGCTGCGACGAATCCGTTAGCACGCTCGATCGTTTCCCCAAATCTTGGCAATAATAGTAATGCCTCAATGGCACCATTATGCGAACGATATATCAATGTGTGCATAGCACACGACAGACGGCCAGCATCCATAAAGGTGTTGGATTTTGGGGGATTCAATCAGTTTTTGCCGAGGGCTTACATCCCGTACTACATACGCGTACCCGGTAACGTTAAAAAAAAGAAGATAATAACATATAAACAGGACCAACAAAACAGTTCTTTCTGTTATTTTTTCACAGAATATTCTTCAACAACATCGAAATTTTATCTGGATTTTTCATCAATTTAGAATTAATCTTCTCTTTTAAAGAAAAGACAAATTTTTTACCTTGTTTTGTATTCAACTATTCTTAGACAAAATGTTTTATTATCAATTACAGGCAATACAATTTTGGTTTTTTTTATTCCGCATTCCGCGGAAGTGAGAAATTCTTTTAGAAATTATTATAACAATTTGTGGGCGTAAAAGCAAGCGAGATCTAGAAATGAAGCGCATAATGATTTCTCTGGAGATACGATAATTTTTTTGCACATTGCAAATTTGCAAACGGAGTGATTTCGCTTTGATCGACCTTTCGTTGGGTCGTTTCCGTCGAGTGCACATATCGATCGCCACGGTCGGCCCTTATTGTACCGGCGCGCTGGTCTGTACGGTGACATACTGGTGGCTGACAGAGACGGTGGTTCCCCCGTGCAGAGAGAACTACCGTCACATAGGGAGCGGCAAATCGGGCACGGGGACCACGGTCATCAAGAGGGTGAGATGGTCTTTCCTAATTCGGGAAAACTCGTGAAATTACCTTGACCGATCGTTGAGCACTTAATCGAAGATTAATGACCGTGGCCTTTGAGGGCCAGAGCTCTACGAGCGCGGCTCGTCCTCGCGTAGGAGGTTTAATACGCTTCACAAATCGGTAAGCTTGTCATTCTCGATCGAAACTGGATAGATTAACAAATTTCAGATTGCCTAGACGTGTGTAATTATTGATTGAGAAATAATCTTAATATTTTTTGTAAAAAAAAGAGATATGATTTCAGTAATGTTTTCAGCAAAATGTTAGCAATATCGGTAGGTCGACAGCAACATTGTTAACATTTGACTCTCTGGGTTAAATTAGTTTCCTTTGATTCTGTAATTTAATGAACTCAATTTAATGTCTTCATAAGTTCATGTGTGTGTGACTATATTTTCTGCGATTAATTATAATTATCAAAACAATGTCAAATAAAGCCGACGTTGTTTATAAGCATAAATTAATGTTTATCGCTTGAGATTAAAATTAATAATTAACTGCTCTCGAAAATCTAGGAGTTTGTTCGCAAACTAACGTCTGTTCGTAGGCCGGCGGAAAATTCAGTAAGCATCGTATTTCCGCATCTGTTTAGACGCGTTGTACACAGGGTGGCCGGCTTTTCATTGCAAGTCGGCATTTGCAGGCCTTTGTGGTAAACCACGAACAATACCGGTTATGCTACCGTGCAAGCAACCCTGGATACATCATGGTTGAAACTCACCACAATTTTTCCATTCGCGATGATTCGTGCGCGCTAAAATATGGAAAGCCTTATTTGAGTTGCGGCGACCCCATCATCGAGATTCACGAAATTAATTAGAATGGACCGCGGATTAATGTCCGCACCCTCGTCTTGCGCATGATGCATTATCGGATAAATCCAACCAAGGAATAAACCACAAATTGCTGTGCGCTTATGCATTGATGTTATCAGGATTAGTGAAATCAATGTGATTAAAATTTAATAGCGATTGATGCAGTTATGAATTACTTATTAATTTTAAAACTTAAGATAAACAACATTATTATAAAAAATTTTTGTTTGTACTATTGTCATTTATTTCGAAATTCAAAAGTAGATATATTAAACATTATTATTAAAAAAAAAATAGCCCAAAAATTAAACATAATCTCGGAATAATTTAATTAGTTATATAAATATTGTAAGAATGCTTTATCTAAAGAAAATTCGTGATAAAAATAATAAAAATAATCTCCAATTTAAAATACTCTTACATTTCGAATTTTTACATAATAAATGCAACTCAACACTGCTGAAAACGTTTTATCCGGCAGCCGTTATTTTATAATTATCGGTGTCGCGAAAATTGAGGGTTTCGCAAAACGTCAAGCCATTGACAGAGACTTGCGACGAGAATTGCAGCGTACATACATACATGCAAACGTATTCACATACGTATGCACGTACGTACCCCGTAGTTTGACTCTAGCGCTAGACGCATAGGGGGACAGATGTCTACGGGGGGCAGGTGTACCCCAGTGGTGCGCGTGCCAACCAACCCCCCGCCGCGCTGTCCATTCAAGACTATAATTTACTTGAAGAATGCCCGACCCAGCCAGGCATTCATCCCGGAGTGATGTGGGTTGCTGCTTTAGGTTTAACAGCGAGGCTCTCGATCGCGAGAAGTCGATCGTAGATCGCAAGTCTGACTGTCATCCGTGAACCTCGACTTTGAATATCAGGACAAATCACGTCTGTCACAACAATGACAATGATAATCATAGATATTAAAACAAAAATCAGCGTAAATAGTTTTCGGAATAAAAATTGCATTATAATGGAGATTTATGTGGCTGGAATTTAGCGGAATTAATAATATCTGTTTCATCCTTGAATGTGCAAATGTTTTTGCTATATTAAAATAATTCCTTCCTTTTAAATAAGTTAACAAATTACTAATATAGCTACGACAAAAATAGATGCAAACAAAACGTCGAAATAATTAAA